TTAAAGTAGAAAAATACATCTTTTGAATTCTTTTAGCTGTAACATTTGTTACCTGATTTGAAAAAAAACGATTTTAATGTCCATGAAATCTGATTTTATGGGCTAAGCATCCCTGCCCTAACCCCAACCCTTGGAAAATATATATTATGTCATACTTTGACATACTGGCAGCACCGCTTGTAACTAGTAAATGAACTATTGGAATCACAAGACCACTATCCTTGCTGAGCCTGAATCCATCCTCAGATAGAAAACAGACAGACTGCATTGTGTGGAGGAATTACACTGATGAGACAAATCAGGAGAAATCTAATTTTCGAATACAGCAAGGGACGCATTCCCTTGACAACCAGCAACAAATCATGCTTTAGTTTTATACTGACGATTAGTGACTAAATGCTTTCACGTGAGAGCAGACAGGATTCGTTATCAGTTATTTCTCTGGTCTGATTCCAGAGGGTATTGTTTAATGGAAAACTCAAATCTGGATGCGTTCCATGAATGTTTACTAAATTCACACACAAAGAGACCTGTGTTCGATTCAGCTGTGCCTTACCAACATTCTCATCATTCAATTAGTAGTTCCTCTAATGTAAGAAAGGTTGGACATCATGTGGAGGAAATGTAATGGGAATGAGAAGGGGCACATGCCAGATTGTGTGTGTGTATTTATTGTCAGTAGACCGATGAGGCTGTATGCAGGCATAGGAATGCTCTGGGTTATATGCTCATTTCTGCATGCTAACACTGGAGGCTGATTTGAATGTCAATAGTTTTGCTCTTTGATCATATTTAAGAATTGGACAAATACAAATCTTGACCTCATGATGGTGCAGGATGATAAGGAAACAGATCCCTAATCTGTTGTTAAAACTCATACTGAGGGAATGTTTTTACCACATTTCATGATAAGATGATCTTCCTTTTAACATTTTACATCAAAATGAAGATGATGTTCAGCCGCTTGTAATGATTTAAGATTTGTCATGCTGACTTTGGCTGATTTATTGTATGAGTTATACTTGGCATATGTCCTCCACTCCTGGCCATGGTTTACTATTTGTATGAGATTTGTTTCTGCTTGTATTTGGTGCAATCTTTTGTTCGGCTAAATATGTGTGTTTGCTTAGATTGTAGGCGCTAACATGTGTTGTGGTACAATACAGTTGACATGCAAGGGCATGGGTTTTCTTTTTCTGTGTTCTTTTTAAGCTATAATTCTACTGTGACTAAAATGCACTGTCTTGCCCATAAATGAACCAGTACCTAGTATTTATTGTTTTTATCTTTCGTCCTCAGCCCACTCCACATCAGCAGGATGACCCTTCTCAACTACCCTGTTCCAGAGTTGGATGTTACCCTGCAGGAAGTGAGCCGTGTCTTGCAGCTCACTTTAAGACCTGACCTTTACCCAGAGTTCAAAAATACCCTGGAACAGCAGAGGGCGCTCCTTCAAGAGGTCCAGCAACAAGTTGCAACAAGAGCTTTGGGCAAAGAGAACTGGGTGACGGAGCAGTTCAAGAGAAGTCTGCTGTCTTGTTACGACCCCCTGCCCACCTCTACTGCCCTTCCTGTTGTTCTGCTTCCTCCCAAAGCAAAGGGATGTACCCAGCTAGGGAGGGCCGCTGCTCTCCTCTGGGCAGCAGCAAAGCTGGACAGCGAGCCCATGCTGCTGGAGGGCAATGTGCCGATGGAGAACACACAGCAGTCCGAGATATTCGCTGCCAGCAGGATTCCTGGCAAGAGTCAAGATGAGATTAAAGTGAGATTATTGGCAACGTTCAAACATTTCCCAATTTGGGATCAATAAAGTATGTCTTATCTTAACAAGTCTGCTCTCTTTCTAATCTTCTTTTCCTTCTCCAGCTCTACCCAGATAGCCTTCATGCCATTGTCACCTGTGCTGGAGGAGTGTTCCCTGTGGACATACTGGGGCGTCCCAGCACTGGTGGGCTAGTTTCTGCTCGACCGTTTGTTGACATCTACAACCAGCTGGCTCAGGTGATGGATCAACCCAGAGCAGGAACACTGAATGATCCATCTGCCATTTGTAGCCTCTCGGCTCTGGATCGCAAAGTCTGGGCTGCCACCAGGGAAGAGATCTTGGGGAAAGGAGGGGAGACAGCGGCATCCCTGAGGCTGATGGAGAGTGCCGTGCTGACCCTCTGTCTGGAGGACTGCAACCCTCCCTCTGAACTGGCTGATACTCTCAATGCAGTGAGGCTCGGAGGAGGAGGAGAAGGCAGCCTTTATTTGAGATATTATGACAAGGTATTGGATATTATCTGACTAAGGACTTTCCACCAAGCAGAAATCAGATAGATCTTTCACAAACACTTTCTCATACTGTTTACATTTGTTTTGAATGATCATAATACTGCCTTTTCTGAAATGTAAAAAGTAGGGCTGTCTCACAACTTGGTACAAGGTCAATTTTAGCCTCTACACCAAGAGGTTTGGAATTGCTGTTAATTTTTAGTTGAACGTTTTTTGAAGTAAATAAATATGTAAATGCAAGTTTTGAACATATGCTGTCAGTGCTATTAGTGGGGGTCAGTGCTTAGAGTGTTCTTTAACTGTTGTCCCTCATTTACAGGTGGTGAACCTGGTGGTGTTCAAGGACAGCACAGCTGGGATGGTGTTTGAGCACAGTGCTGTCGATGGGATGGTGGCTGGTCTTGTGACTGAGCATGTGTACAATCTGTCTGAGACTGTGGACCTAAACTTTGTCCAGACTGAAGCAGTACAAGACAATGGCTCTGTCGTAGTAAACAATGTTAGCTCTGTGTGTCCACCTCCCCTAACATTCCCCTTGCAAGGAGTAAATACCCCCAAACTGAGTCTTAACTTAAAAGAAACACACCCTGTTCTCACTTTTGATGTGTCCTCCTTTCCTGATGTCTTTTCTACTCTCAGAGGGCAGAGAGGCCTGTTTGATGCTTGGGTTAACTTTTCTTTGCAGCTTTCCCTGAGGCAGACTCTTGGGGAATCCGCTGCCCAGCACATGATTGTTACACCGACCCATATGCGGCACTACAAACATGGCCGTTGTGATCCAACATACTCACTCACCATGCATTCTCACAAGTTAGTCAGTGCCTTGGCGTCTTGCATCGGCTCAAATAACACAATCAAATACACTGCTGACCTGCTACGCTTGTTCCATGTTGCATTTTTGGAGCATAGGAGCCTCATCAGAAACACAAAAAGCGGTCATGGAGTTGGACCCCACCTTGCTGCACTGCGTCGATCGTTGCCATCTGACAATCCTCTGAAGAAGTACCTGGACCCCTTTGGATGTCCATCTGTGTACCTCACAGGTACAGATATGATGGAGGGCGTGGAGTGTGGAGTAGGGAATGTTTATGCCCAAGATCAGCTGGCTGTAACCTACCTTGGAAAAAAAGACAAGGTTCGCATTGTGCTTAATGGAAAAGGGAGCTTTGCTGTTACACTGGAGAAACTTCAAGCTAGTCTGAAGATAAACCTGAAGTTAGTGATGCTCCTAGCTGTTAGATACGCCATTTCATGCCAAATGGGAGCCATTGAGCGTCCATTGAAGAAGGGTCAAACTGAGAAAATGAATGGAGAGACCAACCACTGCCAAGAGAGCCCAAACAAAAGCAAAGCCACTGTTGAAAACACCTCTGGCACGAGCACAGACTACACTCTGGTAATCCATGGTGGGGCTGGTGAGGAGATGATGCTAAACACCGAAGTGATTGGTGTAATTGAGTTTGCTCTACAGACAGCTTTAACCCTTGGGTCCCAAGTGCTTCAACAAGGTGGCAACAGCCTAGATGCAGTTCAGAAGTCAGTAGAAGCTCTGGAGGACTGCTTCCTGTTCAATGCAGGCAAAGGCTCAGTATTCAACCAAGACGGCAAACATGAAATGGAAGCAACCATTGTGGATGGCAATACGATGAGGTCAGGATCTGTTGCTTGCGTGCAAAATGTAAAGAACCCAATAAAAGCCGCTAGGTGTGTCATGGAGAAAAGCTCCCATTCACTCATTGTGGGAGATGGGGCAGAGGAGTTTCTGCAGGGGTTGGAGAAGAAGCAGAATCCTGTTGGGCCTGAGTATTTCTACACAGATGTACGTCACAGACAGTTGACTGCAAAGCTCGCTGCAGGAAATACCTCAAAAAACAATCACCCGCAGACAGTTGGAGCTGTGGCCTTGGATCGTTGGAAAGGGTTGGCTGCTGCATCATCCACAGGTGGGGTAGTAGGTAAGCTGAAAGGGCGAGTTGGGGATACAGCAATAGTAGGGGCAGGAATATATGCTGATGACAAGTTAGCCATTACCTGCTCTGGAGATGGAGATGTGTTTCTGAGGCAAACAGTTGCCCAGAAAATAGCCAGTCTCTACCACCACACAGGCTATAGCTTGAGGCAGGCATGTAGGGAGGTGATGGGTGAAAATCTAGATGGGATCTGTGCAGGAATCATAGCTCTGGACGCGAAAGGTGATGTCATCATTGAAACGAACGCTGATGTCATGTTTGTGGCCTCAATGGTGGATGACATTTCACGAGTGGAAGTCCTCAGGCCCCTCAAGAGCTTCTCTGATGTGATCTGGGAAACCGATGAGATGGTTGCTTACCTGGATCCCAAACCCTGGACCCCTGGGTCAACCATTCTGAAAAGAAAAACTCTTAGCGGAGCAAGCAGCATCTTCCAGTTAGCTACACCTGATGTTTTGACTATCCTACAAGGAGCAAAGGCTGTGTCAAGCTTGCTATGTGAGCGACTGGGAGTGCAGCGCTGTGCCCTGGTTTTCAATCCAATCCCAAACCAGTCAGCACAAATCCGACTGCTTCCGCTTCATGGTCTTGAGCCTAAGTGGCAGCCCCATCTGGCAAGTGAAGAGGAATTCCACACATATGATCCGGGTTACTGCACTTCCAAAAGTGGCCCACGCTTGGATGATGAGGCACTGGCCCAGGTTCAAGCCAAGATTAGAAGCGGACTGCCAACACCAAATGCACCTTCCTGCTTTGACTTTTTCGGAGATGCTTCCAATGACAACCTGTTCAGTCGTATTGTACGTGGAGAGCAGCAACAGTGGAGAGTGTGGGAAGACAATGAGCATGTTGCCTTCCTGACACCTTACCCAAACACTCCTGGACTAACCGTTGTGGTGCCCCGCACGCCACTGTCCAGTGACATCTTCAAACTGGAGGAAGCTGACTACAAAGCGCTGATCCTAGCTACTTGTAAAGTTGCCAAACTACTGGAGGAAGGGATGAGAGCTCGAGGTGTTGCACTGATCTTCGAGGGCTTCGAGATTGATTATGCTCATGCCAAGCTAATCCCTCTGTTGCCTTCACCAGATGGAACCAAGCAAGCTGAACTGCAACCAGGATGCTACCAAAGCTACCCTGGATTCGTGTCATCACGGGATGGCCCAGCTGCTGACCCTGAAGCCCTTAAAAAGATCCACTCAAAAATCACCCAGTGCAGGCCTCCTCATTCATGGCAAGACCCTCAGTCTCACTCCACACTTGCCATCAAGAGCCAATGGTATCGTAACCTGTTCCAGATTCAAAACACCCTTTTCCACAGCACAGTGGAATATTTCCACAGTTCCTGCCAGTTCTCCTACGCTCTAACCCCTCTCACCACAGACACCATCTCTTCACCAATGGGCCTGGGATCTGACTCAGAACCAGTTTCTGTTCACTTGCTCGGCCAGGACATCTACCTCGCTGACTCAATGCAATTTGTACTTGAATACTTCCTTCGCTTCCAGGAGAACCTTCAAGGGACATACTACATATCTCCCAGCTTTAGAGGGGAAGATCCTGATGCCACACACTTGAACCAGTTCTACCACGTGGAGTGTGAACTGTTGGGGAACATGGACAAGGCCATTTCCACAGCAGAGGGATACTTGGCTCATCTCACCAAGTCCATGCTGAAGAAACACTCCGATATGATACTCAACACCGCCGGGACTCTTACACATGTCAAAGCCATGCTGAATAAGCTGGATGGAAAAACCTCACTACCAAGAGTCCCTCTCGACCAGGCCATTCCCATGATGCCCTCCGCCGACTGCCTAGAGTGGGTTCAAGATGGCCAGCCGCAGTTTGGCAGAAAGCTAACGCGCAAAGGAGAGCGAGTCTTGATAGAGAAATATGATGGCGCTGTTTGGCTAACTGAGATGGACCATCTAGGAGTCCCCTTCTACCAGGCCTATGTGGAGGGCACTGAGCGGTGCAAAGCCAAAGCTGCTGATCTTCTCCTGGGTTTAGGTGAGACTGTGGGTCTCGGAGAACGTCATTCCACCACTGAGATGGTACAGGAGGCCCTCAGACACCATGGAGTGCCAGAGCAGTCCTACAAATGGTACCTTAACATGCGGCAGATGAATCCCCTCCTCACCAGTGGATGGGGCATGGGGACGGAGCGCTACTTGTGTTGGCTGCTTCAGCATGATGACATCAGAGATATGCATGTCATTCCTAGGATGAAAGGAATGAAGTACATGCCCTGATCACAAGTTCTCCTGAGGTCTACAGACCCTAACATATGAATTAGGTGTAATAATGTGGCCAAGAGAACAAAACGCCACATTATATCTGTTAATCCAACCCAACCCTTTCACCCAACCCTTGCTCACTTTAAAGCAGGGGTGTCAAACTCAATTTCATCACGGGCCACATTAGAATTATGGTTGCACTCAAAGGGCCGGTGGTAACTTTAAGACTATATATATACATAGATAAATATATATATATTATATAAAATAATGTATTATTTTACAATATTTCCTCTGCATTGGATTATTATCGGATATGGTAATAACTTCATAATTAACTACGCCTGAAAGCATAAGTCTAGTAATTGCAAGTTTCTTCTGTGCGCATCTCACAAAATGAGATGCATTGTGGGACATGTAGTTTATGGTGCTCCTCTAAAGCGGCACGTGACCTTATAATAAACGTATTATATTCTTTGCAAGCTCTTGTGGGCCACATCAAATGAAGTGGCGGGCCGGATTTGGCCCCCGGGCCTTGAGTTTGACACCCTTGCTTTAAAGTAACATCCTCATGTCCTGTTACATGTTATAGTCTTGCAGCAAAACCAGAGGTACAATTTCAGAGAATTAAATTAATGTAAAAAAGGTTTATTTGGAGGTTACAGGAAGTATATCAGCATTTGTAAACTTTAATGTTAACACTTAGATTTGGATTATTTTCTTAGTGGTTAAGCTAAAGTGGCAATGTAAGTGCAAATATAGCACAAGAAGAGTGCTTGTATAATTGGAATTGTTTATTGTATTTTATTATTTTTTCTTTGTGTGAGACTTAATAAAATGGTTGATAAAAAATGTAACAGAAAATAAAATGTGTATGTGTTTTTTTCTTTTTGGGACAAGGTGAAGAAACACAAATATTTACATATTTGGCCATTCATGTTGTTGTATCATTTATGCAAGAACATTCATTATATTGTTCCTCAATATAATAACATATTGGTCTACCATAGTCTTTGTATTTAAAGGGTCTCGTGGAAGTGTTGATGCTCAATTTAATGAAGTGATAATTACTTTTGAAACACACATCATCTTTTGGACCACTTAAAGGTGGGGTAGGTAAGTTTGAGAAACCGGCTCGAGATACACTTTTTGTTATATTCCATTCCCGATAGCAATGAATATGTGTGCTTTGACAAAATCCATTAAAAATAATTAATCTGTGGAAGCTGTAGTACTGTAAAAAAACACGACCAATCATTTTAGCTGGCCCGGCTGTCAGCCTTCCATCTGTGCACAAACTTATCTCGTGCCCTCATTGGTCACGTGCACATTCGTGTGTGTTGGAGGAGGGGCTCTGTAAGGAAGTGGCAGATTTGTTCCGGCTGTGTATTTTCAAATTCCAGCGCACTCGAGCTGGTTTCTCCAAAATTACCTACCCCACCTTTAACTCAACAAGACCTGTTAGTTCCCATGAGCCTCCGATCATTGTGGCCTCAGACAGAAAGGCACAGGGACAAATATAGTAAAGCTAATATTTGTACGTCTAGCATTTTATTTTAATATAATGAATGATAGCACAGTGTGAGACAAAAAAACTGATTTATGTTTAGAAATGTGTCTGACCACCAGATTTAAAAGACAACAAACTAACTTTACAGTGTATCAACTATTAAAAAAAAAAGAGTAATCTAATGCCCCTGAAATTATTGTTTTTGTTGAACTCCAGAGATTGTATTTCTCCCCTTGTAGTGAGTTGTAAACTAAGCGCATTTGTTCCTGTTTTTCAACCTCGAGATATGTTACAATTTAAAAGGACAACACCCATATTGATCAATGTCAGCCTATGAGTTTGGCTAAAAAGCCACACAATCAATTTATCCAAATCTTTCTTATTTATTTTTGGTTAAAAAAAAGCAAATACTCTCATAAATGTAATACCCATGAATGTTGCTAAATGTTAACAAAAAATGGTCAGTAAACTACGGAACGTGTCTCAGCAGCTTTCACCTTGAACACCATGAAGAAAAGAAGAAGCTTACCCTTGTTTAAGGTAAAGTCATACAGGATTTAATTGCAGCTGAAATCCACACTTTATAGAGGTAGCTTCAAATCAAATCAAGTTTTATTTATATAGCCTAGCACATTTAAAAGCGATTTTTGGTCGAGCTAAAGTGCTGTACATGTAATAAAAACACATTACTACAATCACATTACATTACATGTTACTTGTTAGACGCTTTTATCCAAAGCGACTTACATACTCAATTCTGGGCAATCCCCACAGGAGCAATTTGGGCTGACGTGTCTTGCCCAGGGACACAACGACATGCAAGACCATAAATAACATTTAGAGAGTTTTTCTTTTCAATTTAACTTGGGCTAGCTTTTTATTTTCAGAATGACTTTTTTATTTTTAAATGAACAATTAAAAAAGTTTGTTTCCCCCCCATTGCCTTTTCTTTATGTATTTTTAGCAACAAGCAAAAGTAACCAACAAATCATTAAAAATAAATGATAGAAACACGTGATTTGAATAATTACTGAAAGCATCATATCAAAATGTATCAGATTTGACAAATAAAATGCACGCTGATTTAGATAAATAACACACAATTAATTGGTAAATAAAATAATTACCACAAAAAAAAGGGGATTCACCAACGTGCCAATGACCCGGATGTAGTATGTGAGCAATATTTGTTTCCGGTTGTCACTGTAGAATCTGACCCCCGGCTTGAACACAGCCCTGCCTCTTTCTGAAGATACACTTTTCGTCTGATTTCTGAACCGTAAGTTTGTCCCATTTTAAATTCTACCCTGTGTGTGCTCATGTTTTTAACTCCACTTTAGCCTCCTTATCTTTTTACGAGTGTTTGTTGTCAATAAGGCTGGCAAAAGCTAAGGTCAGCGCTTGCGTAGCCTGACAGCTAACTAGCATGCTAAGCTATCATGCTAGTCAGGAGTGAGCTAATCATGTGTGACTTTCCAATGAGCCAGCCATTTTCTGAAAACACATTAACCTCTGTAAATTACACGTTCACCTTTCTACAGTCGGTAAAGTCATTAGACATGTAACAGTAGTTGGACATCAGGTCGACTGTTAGCTACAATGTTAAGCTAAGTTAGTAATCACAATTGGAATGCTGCTAGGAGCTGAGAGGCTGTAATGTTGTGGAGTGTGTGTGTGTGTGTGTGTGTGTGTGTGTCATCATACATAAATATAAACCAGCGAAGGAGCAGGTTATTTGAGGTTGTGTGCTCTTAAACGAACATGTCATCTATTGCATAATATCTCAAAGGCATGGACACATTGAACAACATTCTTCCTGGATGAACAGTGGGATATTCATGTTTTTAAGTAAATATTCCTACTACTTTTTCATATCTCAGAACAAAGGTGTTACCTAAAAAGAGTAAAAGAGAACAAGCTTTAACTGCCAACCTCCTGCATGATTTCTAAGTTTAATGCATTAAATGTAAAGATAAATCCCCACAGTAGCAACTTCTTTAATCTTTCCACTTATATATATATATATATATACTAGGGATGCACGATATTGGTTTTTTGAAACCGATACCGATAACTTCCTGCTTCTCAAGACCGATACCGATAATAATATAATATATATATATGAAATATACCTGTAGTTTTTGCACACCTGGTGGTAAAAAAAAGACTAGTAGTGAGTAGGGCTGTAGAGATACACTAATCTCACGATACGATACACGATATTCAGCTCACAATACGATTCGATATAATTCGATACACTTATATCATTTTCTGAAAGATTTTAAAGGGACAGTGTGATTTTGGTGACATCTTGTGAGTGTTCCATTGAATTAATTCAACTGAAAACTGAAAGCATCAATTATACAATATATGGCTCTGACAGAGAGTCTACAGCTTGCAAATGCTGGACAAAATGAATCAAAAGATGTGGTGAGAAAATTAGTTTCATTTATTGAAACAGTGCAAACTGTAGCTTACAAGCCTTTGAAACGTAAGTACATAAAGTGCAGTATCACAATGGAGAATTAAAAGGTACAGCAGGTGGCGGAACACGGGGGATTTGAATGGGACTTGTTAGAAATTAAAATCAATGTTTTGATGGCATAAAGTACCTTAAGGCGAGACACGGCAGGCAAAAACATCGTTTTTCAAGTACTGGTCAATTTTGAGATTTTGTACTATTTTGATTCCATAACATGTTTTCTTTCAGGCTTTTGGAAGGAAAACGTACAAAATACACATTTAAGTGTTTATTTTACTATAGTTTGTCTATTTGCGTCTGTAGATTTCTCCTAAATTCACCAAAAGTTAGCATTCTAACGTAACATAAAGTACCGCGACCGCTGTGTGCACCATGTCAACAGAGGTATCGCTGGAAAGCTCCGTCTCTCCTGCACAATCTCATCGGATCCAAAGATGGTCATTTCCTTTGTATCAGCAACCCATCGTGAAAGCACAAAGGGGTCTTAAACCAAGAAACGAAATCTCATTGGCTGGTGTCAATTTCTGACAACGTGATTCGTTCAGATGCGTCACGTGGTGTGCTAAAACACTTCCTGGTTAGCTTTCAGCTAGAAATTGAAATCTCAAAATGCCAAAAGAACGGCGAAAAAAACGTTCACAGAGAAGACGACAACAATTGTCACTTGCACGAAGCAAGGTTATAAAAAAAAAAATGACCCTGAACATGAAATACCTTCACGGAGTGCGTCGATGCGCAAGCTGTCATCCAAAGAACAGGAGGGTTTAGCTAGCGCCTCACTGCAATCTTTAAAGGTCGTTTTCTCAAATTTAGTTTTTTCTCCTACTCTGAGTTCGAAATGTCAACTTCAGTAGCACGTACATACACCAAACCTTCCAGTTATATTCCTATCAATATTATGAAGGCTTTTACAGAAGGGTTTGTTCATATATCATTCATAGCCTGAATTATACAACATTGTATACCTAAAAACATGGCGAAGATTGATATTTTAGGGCTGTTGACAGTATTTTCTGATTTATGGAGTGATAAAAAGAGATATCCAATATCCCTTCTGTAAAAGCCTTAGATACTAATATGACTACAAAATGAAACAATAATTTTGAATCTGGCTATATCCAAAGTTCAGATTTCGATTCCTGAAATGTGTTAAAATATGTGCATATTTAATGAGATAATGGATAATTTGCATGTTTAAACATGCTATTTCAGAAAACTTGTAATACAAAAGACAATTGCCTTATTGTAAGTAATTAACTGGAGAAATTTCTAGCTGATACCTTTAAGTTAAAAAATTAACCTATTCACCTGGGGTGTCTCGCCTTAAACATACCGTCAGTTTAAATGCTGTTTTATACTGAAAAACCAGAAGTTCTTGTGCACAACCAGTTGTTAAGCTTTTATTCTGAAAATCCTTCATCTCCGGTTAGCATTTAGCATGTGGCTAATATACCATTTACTATAGAGGTGAATTTAGTAGCGATATGACACGTAGTGTTGCACACCGAAACCTACTGATTTCAACACTACAACTATAGACGTCGAGATATTATTATTGCTGAATATTAAATGAAGGTACAGTTTATTTGAATACGTTTGTTTACAGACGTGGGTAGCATGAGACAACATCCGGAAATGATACCAGCCGTGAGGTATTTTTGGAGTATTGATTACAGCGTTTTAAAATGTATTAAATGAAAAGTCATGAAAGAGATAAGGAGGAGAACAGGCGTGTTTAGTTATATATTTAATGTACAATGTCGGAGTCCTCTGTTATGCGCAACAACGAACATTGGAGACGTGGAGGGCCGGCCCCCAGCAGCGCCAACCGGCCAACGGGGATGAGCCAGCAGAGGATATTTAACAGCTGGAAAGGTGTAGCTCGCTCTCTTCCCTTCACTCACGAGAGCCAGAACACAGCTGTTTTTCTGACTGAACCATCTTCTGCTCGTAACATTACCGCGCTTTTTATTAATTAAAGTATACATTTGAACCTTCTAAGAGACTCAATTAGTCTCCTTTTTAAAGCTTCTCTCCGCGAGAATAACGAACACAGTTATCAGACTTAATGTATCGATACCCGTGGCTGAAATATCGATACTTTCTCGGAAAACTAAATATCGATATATATCGCAGGATCGATTAAATTGCACAGCCCTAGTAGTGAGCCAATGACATGAGCGTTACTACTATGAACAAAACAAAGCCAAGAACAGTTTTGACTCTTCAAAGTGACCATATTTATTCTCCAAAATAAAGTTCTTGCCTTTTTCAAAAGCCTCGTCGATAGGTAAAAGCCCCGGTGCCTTTGCAGCTGGCTTTGGATTCGCCGCTAGTTTAGCAGCGCAGGCGTCTTCGTACGCTTTTAACACACCATCGTAGCGATGGCGATGTTTCAGGTGACTAATCAGGTTGGAAGTATTATAGCTCGTTGCCTTTTTCCCTCCTCGTGGAACTTCTGCATTTGTTAATACAAATAGCAAGCGAACTATCTAACTCTGAAACTTTGAAATAGTCCCATACTACCGGCGACATGGTTGTTTACTGTCCTGGCTTCACGGCCGCACACCATTTACGTCACAGCCAGGCACGAGTTAGGGAGCGCTGGATTTGTGAAGAACTCCCCTCTTCCTAAACCACTAATACCACAGTACTGGCAAAACGGGAGGAGCCGAGTGAAAAACAAGCGCCCCTCATCCCAATCCACCCACACCGCAGTATTCTTTCTTTTTTTTAACCCAAAAAATATATTGTATATTATCGGGGCTATTAATACTTTTATCGGGGTTTATCGGGATGACGTCATAATTCCTAATATCGGACCGATAATTATCGTGCACCACTAATATATACTCTCAAGATTTCAATAAATTCAATTTGGAGAAAAAAACGGGGGGGAAAATGAAAAAACAAACAATCGTGTTAGATGGGTCGTGTTGAACGTAGCTCTGTTCTTTCCACCACGCGGAACCTCCTTCTTGCAAACATTGCATCTGGCTGTTACACTGCCTTCGCTTTCTACTTTATAATACTTCCAAACTCCTGACATTTTCTCTGTCCCGACTCCCGAGTCACCAGCTGAACGTAGCCTCTCGTTAGCTTACTGCTACTATTAGACACTGCGCCCACTCTGTTGCTTTGAGAGAGATAAGCAACCAGGTCTATGAAAACAAGCCCAAAAGAAGCAACACATACATGATGTTGTGTGATTTTAAACCAAAGCTAAGGCCTCAGGATGACTTTAAGACGTGAACATGGTCATTTTTGTTTTGTAACATTAAATAAAATAATTTTTTTAAGGATTCCCGATCCCCGATCTTTTTCTCCCGATTCCGATCTTTTAAAAATCACGTGATCGGCTCGGGACATCTCTAATTAAAAGAGGTGAAAATCACTCCAAGTCTGGGCGTGTTGAGAGCTGTACATACACACAAGGGGAGTTAGTCGGTTCCTAAGAGCCAGCATGCAGAACCGGGACTCTGGGATTTGTAGTCTTTCTAGTTGCGTATTTTTCATAGTCTTATATTTCATCAGTTTTACGACGAACTGTGACTTTTTTGACATGGAAATAATTTGTTAAGATTGACAAACATCATATGTGTAATTCGTGGCACAATTCAAACGGGATCGAAAGATAATCTTTCTCTCCATTGACTTCAATACATACTTTTTCCGAAATAAGGTCCCATGGGGCGGAAGTAGATGGGCGGGACTTCGCCTCTCTATTGCTGCAAAGGTTTTTAAAAAGAAAAAAACCGTTGCTTTGCTGTAGCAGCTTACTGCTCCTCAATTATATGATTATCCTTTTGTATCGAGGCTTATTAACTCAATCTGTAGTTTAAACTTCAACACTAGACCTGGTAAAAAACTTAATTTGGCTGACTTTCGCTCGCTGACTTTCCCTCGTCACTCAACTCCTGCACATATTTTTTAAATCTGCTGCGTGATCATAGGGAATAGAGAAAATAGGTTGTGGAATTCCCTTTTTTCCTGCAAAGGTTTACAAAAACAACCAGAATGCACTGGGCTCTTTGCTGTAGCAGCTTATTCTTCCTCAAGTATATTATTATCCTTTTGTATTGTGGCTTATTAACACAATCTCTAAACTATAATAATAATAATTCATTCTATTCAGAGCCGCCTTTCAAAGCACCCAGGGACACCTTACACTTCATTACATATTCTAAGGAAAGGTTTAAGACAGTACAAAAGGACCGTAACAGGGGACATGTAGCACTACAGTGGGGAGGCTGATCTGAACAGGTGGGTTTTGAGGAGCGACTTGAATGTGGTGATTGTGTCAGCTATATATTGTGTCTATAGCCCTAGACCTGGTTAAAAAAAACTTAATTTGGCTAACTTATCCTTCATCACTCAACTCCTGCTCCTCTTTCCCCAGGTACCAGTCCATGTGTGGTCTCTAATGGGCGGCTGGTCTCGTGGTGCCGTGCTGGAGCTCTACCGGGCGCTGCTCCGCGCAGGCCGCCAACTTCAGTACACCGACCGCAACTACTATCGCCACGCCGTGGCTCGCGAGTTTCGTCGCTGCCAAGACTTGAAAATAGCTCAAGATAAAGAGGAAGCGCTGAAGAGGGGCCAGTTCTTCCTCAACAGCCGATTGGGCGGGCTTATGTAGGGGGGGAGGGGTCATCTGGAGGAGGGTTAAAGGTCATCTGGAGGAGTGTCACCCAGGTAGGTTTGCAAATAAGATAATACTCTTTGTCAGCAGTTATATTTTTTTAGATCGGAGACTTTCTTTGCAGGAGTAAGAGTTTGTAACTGAGACAGTTTGTGACACAATAGGGCAAAAGTCATCCGTAGGAACATGTAGGGTGTGGCTACTCATAGATTCTCTTTGTGTAGGGGAAATATTCAATAGTTGCCTCTGAGTTAAGCAACTTAACAAAGAAAATACCTTTTTATATTTCCCTATAACCTTACAGCCAGTGTCTTACTCTGTCTTAATTTCCTCCATCTTCAGCGGCAGGATGGCGGGGGTGAATGGAGACCGCAAAGGCAAGAAAGATGACAATGGGATCGGCACTGCCATCGACTTCGTGCTCTCTAATGCTAAGCTCGTGCTGGGAGTGGGGGGAGCGGCCATGTTGGGGATTGCAACGCTTGCTGTCAAAAGAGTAAGTGAGAAGCGATTTTTCTCAACTTTTTCATTTTCTGACATGAAAAGGACCGTACGAAGGATTCAAGGATTTAATTGTCATGTGTGCATTAGGGCTGTATCCGAATATTCGTTCGTTGGAGTACTATTCGGGTTTCAATTTCGTTATTCGGATATTCGTTTTTATTTTTTTATTTATTGAAATCTCCAATATCAACGTAAGAGCTTGTGCCTCTTCGGGGGGTGCTAACACTTAACCATAAACGCTATCGTTTACTTTCTCCGTCTTTAATCTCCGTCACGTTGTTTCCATAGCAACAACAACTTCCTGACAACAGCGCTACCTCTCCTTCAAAATAAAAGCATGTCCATAAATAGGAAGCCAAGCTAAATTACACTTAAGACATATACAACTGCAACGAAAGTAACAAACACAATGCGATATCCTTTTCAATTTGAAAGAACACAAATTGGGTTACATTAACAAATAAAACAACAATACTGTAGAATAACAAAAAGAATGCCGTGAATACACCGAAATACACGCGTTGAAGCGGTTCGTTGCCCCCCCCCCGCGGAACGAATATTCGGAGCCCGAAAAATGGTATTCGGGACAGCCCTAGTGTGCATAGCTACAGTGTAGTTATGTCGATGAAAATCTTAGGTCACAGGCTCCTCCAACAGTGCAACACAATAAAACAGATATAATGGTGCAAGTAAATACAATAAAATAGAATATAGTAGAAATAGTGCATAATACTAAGGATCCGTACGATGCAATTCTTTACCGTGCAGATGTACGACCGTGCCATCAGTACTCCCAACAGCCCGACCAACATGGAGCAGACAGGAAGGAGGAGCTGGGAGGAGCCTGCATGGATGGGGTCATCTCCCCGGGTGCTGAACCATGACATGAAGTCCACAGTGAGCCGGTCTCTGCAGAATCTGCCCACTTCCTCTCATGCTTTTGAACCAGGTGAGGAAAAGTGAAGCTAAATCATTCCCATGTCCTTGTCTCACGTGTCTTTTATTTTATTTTTGAGCGGCCTATTTTGTGGTTTAGACTTTCAGCCAGCTGTCATTTTATCTGTTGACAGACCGCCTGCTTGGAGGACTCTTGCTCTTCCTTTACAGTGGGTGTGGGTGTCTTCCTTTACTGTTGTTCAGTAGTGAGTTAGCCAGTTGTAAACATATCAGTTAGGTATATATTTTTAGATACTATAGAAGCCCCTATTTAGTATTTGTAGAAAACAAACCCGTGCCTCTTCCGTCTTTTTCCACTTGAACTCCCTTCTATTCAAAACTCCTTATTTTGTAATGGTGTAAAAAGTAGATTTTTCTCATCTCCTTTCTCTTCATCTCTTCTGCCATCTCCTCAGACTGTCTACGGAGGGCCGTGGGTCGATCAGCTGTGGGAGGCAGCGGCGCCACTCAGTCGGACCTTCAGAAGGCCCGGATGCGTATGTCGCTGCAGGAACATCTGCTGGACTTCTACCAGAATAACGTGAACATCCCCACCGAGGAGCAGGCTGTGGCGAGGAGGGCGGCGCTGGACATCTGTGCCGAGCTGCGAGTGTTCCTTCACGCCAAACTGCCCGACATGCCGCTCAGAGAGATGTACCTGAGTGGCAGTCTGTATGACGAACTGCAGGTAAGAGCAAAGGTTTTCTATTTTGTTGTGTTTTAAAATGTGTTTACATCATGTATGAGGGTTTTCAGTCTGCGGCTATAAGTATGGTTTTATTGTCTCGTGCTTTAACATGTGTTTCTTTTTGTCCTATCGGCTTTGTCTAAATGTATTTATGCTGCTTTTTTATATTTGTATTGATGTACAGCACTTTGTTGTTTTTAAATGTGCTATATAAATAAAGTTGGATTGGTTCAGGTTTAAGTGAGAGGTGGGCAATATGGTTTATTTAATATATTCAATCTTTCTTTATTTTCTAGGTGGTGACAGCGGACCACGCCCAGCTCATGGTGCCTCTGATCTTGGAGAAGAACCTGTGGTCGTCCATCCCCGGCGAAGACACCATCATGAACGTCCCGGGTTTCTGGCTCATCCGCAGGGAGAATTTAGAGTATTTCCCTCGGAACAGCAGCTACTGGGACCGCTGCATGGTGGGAGGCTACCTCTCCCCCAAATCAGTCCTGGAGGTCTTCGACAAACTGGTGGCGGGCTCCATCAACTGGCCCGCCATCGGCAGCGTCCTCGACTACATCATTCGCCCCGTGGTTCCTTCAGAGACGCTGACCCTGGAGGTGCAGTACGACACGGAGCGCAGACTGTACGTGGACTTCCTGCCGTTACTCGTGATGGAGGACGGAACCTCGCTGATCGCCAAACCTCATCGTCTTGTCGCCGAGCGTCACGAAAACCTGTGGAGGCAGAGCTTTCGAGTGGCGGAGACGGCGAGACTCAGGGCGCTGGACCAGGAGGACGGAGGGTGTCGGTGCGCCTGCCTGAAGCTGGCGAAGGCAATGTGCAAACTCAACCCCGCTGTGAACCGTCTCAACGCCAGCCAGCTCACCAACTGCATCCTGCTGCTGTGCGAGAAGGAGGGCGACTGGACGCAGGACGCGCTGGCCGACCGCTTCCTCCAGCTGCTGCGAGCGCTGGTGGGACACCTGGAGGCCGGGAGGCTGCCCTGCGCCCTCAGCCCCAAAGTGAACTTATTCTGCGAGCTGACGGAACAGGAAGTGGACGAGCTGGGGTACACGCTCTACAGCGCCCTGTCCGATCCGGCGGGGCTGCTGAGAACAGACATGGAAGAGCCGCCACAACCGTGACAACCTCGTGTAAAAAAGATCACTACTAACAGCAACGGGGGATTTCAATTAACACTGATTTGTGGGCGATGGTGACCTCGACATAACATGGTCCGGGGAGCGGGAAAAACTGCATGGAGTCCAAAACACTCGATCTGGTCAGTCTTAAACGCCATCAGTGAGAACATGTGATGCACACTGTAGCAGCTACTAAATGTTAAGATACGTCTTGACATGAAAGATGTTTGTCTTGTTCTCATGCAAAAAGTATTTTATCTCCGTTAAGGCCCATTGATGGATCTCACCAAAGCCGTTGCATTAATGAAGTTGAGAGGAGACACGCTGATATACATCTCGGTGGAGGTAGTGCACGCTGCATGGGGTGGTGCAGGAATGAGTCACCATTTTAGCACCTGAAGCTTTTCTCGTCTCGACATCATTGGTTTTTGGATGTGTTTTTGTTGATATGCCTGAAATCAGGTCTGTGGTTAACAGAAGCTAGAGATATTCATGTTTTCTTCCTTGCTAGGGAATAGCTCAAGCTCATAAAAACGGCGGTTGCTAACAAGTGGCTAAATTAGACTATTAAACGTCATCGCGCCAAACATTAGCCGCCTTTAGCTTAGCAGTTGTAGCTTTAATGTGTGTTTACCACAGAGCTTGTTTTACGCATGTTCCAAAATCCAATGCTAACTTCCACATTAGCCTAGAAAAGTACATCATGCCTGCACCACTCAATAATAAGGTGGATATAATACATGCGTCTTCCTCACATTTGTCCTCTTTTTATCTGGTCGGAGTCTTGAAGGCGCTCCCGTGCCGTTGTTCACTGATGGATGCCGGGATGTTGATTGTATGCCAATCCAAAAGCTAATAAAATGTCAATGAGCTAAAGAGACAAGCCTACTCTGTTCATCCACCTTTGGTTCTCATTAAATACTGCTCTACTGTGTTCAGTTTGAAATCACGCTGTGTCAGAACTTCATTAAAACAGTGGCTGCGTTGAAGATGTATGAATCTGTGCAGCTTGCATGTTATCTAGAAATCAACCGGGGGAATAAGAAAATGTATGTTGATGTCTTTGTATCTCACAACATTCATTATGAATCGGATGAATATTCAGCCATAAATAGAAAATGTGAAGCTTCTGAATTGTCTGTCATGAAATTTGAACAATACAGCTTCACCATTTTCTCTTATTTTGTCAAACAGCCGCTCTGTCATGTCAGGAGGTTTGGTTCTCAGTCACATTTGTTCATATAACGAATATGCTTTATTATCTAAGTTAAAACCAAACGTACTTTAATCTCGGGTTATTTTTGCACTGTCCAAATGTTCGTAGCTTTATCCAAAGTGTCTCAACTGGAAAGTGTTCTTGTCTTCTAGTTTTTGCTTTAATTTCAATCCAGGTTTCCTCTTGATCATTATCTTCTACATTTCTTGATTGTCTGAGAAATCTCTACTTGAGACACACAGCTGTTAAACTGGTACTAACGTTTGTCGATGGTGAATTAGTCTCCCGATAGATCTGTAGAGTTATTTCTCTATCTTTGTGCATACCTGTGCACGTTAAGTCCGTATTACCCTCTGAATAACCTACAGGTCAGTGGTCCTGGGCCGTTCTGTTTAGGAAGTGTTTGACAACACATGACCTGTAGTGATTCTCCTGTCAACTCGGTTTATACCTCTAGATTTCAGGTGCTAATCTCTTTTAGATCTTGATCTACTTAGTTATATGATGCTACACTGCAGGTGGAGTCAACACAACACTAGCTGCCAGACTGTAAAGTGTGTCACTGTGAAATGACAACATGTCCAAAATTCATCACATGGTTGCTTTGTTCTCACTTTTAGCCTTAGAATGAGAAATAAATGCAGTGACAGAGCCCTCAACCCCCAGTGTGTATAGTGTACAATATGCAGGGTTATTTATACGTCTGTTATGCATTCAGTTAGTAATCATCCAGAGAACAGGTGAATATTTTTGTATTTATTGTACATTTGTAACCAAAAAGAGCTGGATTTTATTTGCATTTCACTCACCATGTAAAGTACCGCTTAATGTGCTTCATGAAGTGCTTTGTGCTGGATGTACGGATTTAAAATGAACTCATGGTAGACCGGTCTGCATATGAAGCGACATGCTGCTGTCAGAGTGGAGGGGAGTCACTGCCACATTTCTATTGTTATTGTGAAACAAAAAAACAAAGTAGATCACTACCTCTACCTTGTGGAGTTCATGCTAGCCCATACGCTTTGTTGCATGCTGTGTATCCCCATCCCCCACCTCGCCTCTTTTAGTTCAGCTCTGGAGTTGAACGCGGCAGCACTTTGTATACTTCCATTAAAATATTACAAATGTTATTCTCTTTGTTTTCTCTTCTAAGGATGCAGTGTTGAAGCACAGATCACAATAAACACTCAGCCGTCCAATAGTTAAATATTTAAAGTTTAATTCAGTGATATTTGGTAATAAAAATTCACATAGCAAGACAAACATCCTGAGATACCTTAAAGGTGGGGTAGGTCATTTTGGAGAAACCAGCTCGAGTGCGCTAGAATAAAAAAAATACACAACCGGAAAAAATCTGCCACTTCCTTTCAGAGCCCCTCCTCCAACACACACATGACCAATGAGGGCACGAGATAAGTTTGTGCACAGATGGAAGGCTGACAGGCAGGTAGGCCATCCAGTTACTTTAGCCGGGCCGGCTCAGAGGATTGGTTTTCGGCTTCCACAGATGAAATATTTTAATGTATTTTTTGTCAAAACTCTTCAGATATTCATTGCTATCGGGATGTTAAGAGCATTCCATGGAAGATAACAAAAAGTGTATCTCGAGCCGGTTTCTCAAACTTACCTACCCCACCTTTAAGCAACAACATCATTAAAATATTCATTAGACTTCGGGAGCAGGAAATGTTCGAAATGAAAGTAAATTACAATTTAGTTGCATTTGTTCCCCCTTGTAAAAATTCAAATGCCCTGCCATTTCAAAGATGCTCAAACTCGGATTCACAGACACATTTTGGGAAGCAGTCCTTTGTTCAGCGGCAGAACATCTACAGCCCTTGCTAAATGTTGAAATGTGTAATGTAGCATCTGGCTAATGTAGCATCTGCATCACTCATAAGCAGCCAGTTTCTCATGTAAACCTCATTATTCTAAGCAGATGTGAAATATAAAAATAGTGGCAAACCAGGTGTCGCATCAATATCAAACACTACATTCTTGCCGTTGAAATAAAGCAACATTGATGCTGACCTTTAGCTTGGTTGGTTGCCACCTTGAAAGTTAAATAACTGCTAGAAATTAGAAGAAGTGCAACATGTGGTGGTCAGGGAGCTACTTGGCGGGGGCGAACCCGACTCGATCTGCGTTCCTGTCGAACACCGTGTAATACTTCCCGATGAAAACATCTCCCAGAATCCACAGCGGCCCTGCAGGGGGCGGGATGTCCATCGCCATGAAGCCTGACAGACAGATGGCCTGACCCATCTGAGACTCCTGCATTTAAAAAAAACCACATATTTGTTATCCAAGTTTTTTTCAGCAGAAGACTTTATTCATCCCGAAGGAAATTGTTGTGCCAGAGTTACAAAAAACACAACACAGCAGCACAATAATAAAACTGTACACTAACAGTGCAGTAAAATGAGCAATTCAATAACTACAGGAAACATAGATGGTCACATAATTAATGTACATATTAACAGTATTTAATAGTGCAAAAAAACAGTTACGTACATACATTTTGCATTGAAAAAATGTTTATGAAATATGATGCTTTGTTACAAATAACAGTTTACCCAACAATATATACTAGAAGCACTGAAACAATACCATTAGCCGAAGAGACAATGAATTGGCAACTACTATCGATTGTTCAGGTCACACTTTTAATCATTCAAGTGTACTTTCCAGATAATACAAAAACACACTTAACGTCTCTTCACTCGTAACAGTATTTTCTCAGTTAAGTAATAGTACTTTTACTAGAATAAAGCATCTGAATACTTGTTTCACTGCCAGGGTTAGCATCCGTTTAGTTGACCTTACCTAAAGCGCATCATCAATCAAAAGGAAGTGTTTGATAATACAGTAACATGGAGCTCTATGGCACAGAGGGACAAGCTACACTAGGCTTTTGCTACAGAAACACTTCTTTTAAAGATCAAATGCAAAGCTTTTTGTATAATTGCCAGTACAATCGAAATCATATAGCTACAACACTATCTAAGATATTGCAGTATTAAAATCAGAGATAATATGAGTCTGGCAATGCGTTACTGGTTGTGATACTTTCATGGGATTTGTTAAATAATAAGTGACCTACCTTCATGACATAATCCTCTCCCGTCAGGTTATACATCTTCCCTCCGATGTTGAAGGAGATCACAGGGAGAGATGGGATCCGCTTGCAGTCGATCCAATACTAAAGAGGAGAGGAGAATATGCGAAGATTAAAAACTCATCAGGACTGATTTTTAAAAAGCACATCTGGAATACAAGAGACTAAAGCATCAGGTCTTCTGTCTAATATCTTTGTTTCATATCAGCTCCACCTCTCCCATCAGCAAGGGCAGAGCTCCGATGGCCTTCTGCAGCGCTCTGATTTCAGCTTTAGGACCGACGATGAGGGACGTTCCCGTGTCGACAATCGCCTGGCAACCACCTTTGCAGACAGTCAGCTGTTCCCCAATTCCAACTCTACAGGGGGAGGGACAAAAAGTGTATTTACAACATCTGTTTACAAATGTGTTGACATGCTACTGTTGTCCAGACCACACATAGACTATATTTTTTTATTACGATAGTTCTCCATCTGTTTTTATTTTACTTTTATGTATGCACCATGACATCAAGTCAAATTCCTCATACGTGTCAACCTACTTGGTAATAAACTTGTTTCTGACCAAGAAAACACCATCTAATCAATTACAAATAATGCATTAGAGATGAAGGAACGGTTGACTTGTGCATTATCATGTTTTTGGTATTTTGAGTCCTTCACATTGGGGAAGAAGTAAATGATCAGAAGTAAATGTTTTCCTCATCAGTCAGAATACTATTTTCAACTACCAGGTAAAGGGCGGCATCACACCAGAAGTGAGAACAGGATGTGAGTCAACATCCTCTACTCTATTTCAGTTCCTAGTTAGAAATGAAGCAACAAAAGGTCTCTTCTCACCCGCTCATCTCGATCTGCCAGTAGGCCTTTCGTGTGACATTAACATAGTGCAGGTCTCCGGTGTAGTACTGAGGGTCCGTCCCTCCCAGAATCAGCTCTCCCCCCACTGCTGCTTTAGGGTCTCTGAGAGAAAGGGTGGACAGAAGAACAAATCAGTTATAAAAATACACACAACATTTGCCAACTTCTTTAAAATTATATACTTCAAGCTAAATTCTGCATTATTTTTTTGAACTGTTTATTTTCATTTTTACAAATCAAGACATATCCTGACATAGGACTTTTCCATTCAAATGACACATAATAATATGGTAAAACAGAATAGGAAATAAAATAAAAAATAAAGTAAAACCGTTACAAGTTAAAATAAGGAAATAAATAAGATTATAAAAAATAAATTAATAATAGTAAAGTAAATATTAATAAAAGCATTTTACACAAGGAGTGAAATCTTTACCAGAGTAGGATGGGTTACACGGGGAATTCTGCATGTTTGAGAAGGTTTTCCTGTCAGACACAAACCTGCTAATGTAGAAAGAGAAAATGTTCTCGGGCAGCAGCTTGGCAGCCATGGCCGAGTCGAACACCGGAGTGACGTTAGCGACTGATATGGAGGGGTAGGCCATGCCCAGGACCCCATCGAACCGAGCCACTGCAAACGTGATGCCAGGCTGCTTCACCGCCTCGCCAAACTGCTGGTTCTGGACAGGCAGACCTGCAACCTGCAAACAAGAGGGACGTCAATACAAACACAAGCAAAAACTCACACACACAAGATGGAGTTACAATGTGGAGGAAAACCTGTATAACATACTACAGGAAAGGGAAAAGCCCAGTAGGGCCTCTTTAATAAAAAAGGGAAACAGATATGTTTGTGCCAGTGACCTTCAGGCTCCCATAGCAATGAGGGAAGCCAAACATATTTTTCATTTGCACAAACTAACTTCATTGCAACAATACAAAGCCATTTGTAATACAAATCTGCAAAGTTTCCCATTTAATGAGATGATAGGAATGGCGTGACTCATCAGAATTCAGTTAAACAGAAGCGCTGTGTGAGTGAGCGGTGAATGTTTTTATGAACTCACAGAGACCGTGTCCCCGCTGATGAACCCAGACAAGCTGCCTCTGCCGTAACGGATAGAGAACGCTGTGCCATTCTTAGCAAATGTGCTCGACTTCTTCGAGTTGTAGCGATGATGAACCCCTGATGACACGAGACAGTGGTTTAAAAACAGATTTCAATAGATACGGAACACAAAGCAAGCTGAATGAGTCAGTTCCCAATGCTCACAGCAGGCTATGTCGAAGAAGGAGCAGTGGATGGAGGGAACCCAGAGGTTGGACGAGCCGGTGTCAAACAGAACTGTGAAGGCCTGAGGAGGGGTCCCGATGCTGATCAGACCAAAGTACTGCGCCTAAAGAGAGACAGTAGAGAAGGATTCATAATATTGACTGTAAGCATGTTTCAAATAAACCTTTTGACAAAAACGTGCACTTATTGTAACTTTAAAAATATGATCAAATTGTCCACTGAGCTAAAGCCTATATAGGAATAAAACTGTTGTGTCATGAGTTTTTATTTCTACAAAGCCTTAACAGGGCAATGATCAGCAAGTTATTGTCTTAGATCACCAACACTAAATTGTTTGCATTGGTTCCAGTCAAATAAATGCATAAAATACATTTAAAAGAAAAAGACAGAAACATTTGATGTCAACCCATGGTACCGTGGGTGCCAAGAACTAATGTTAACCTCATATTTTCCTCCTCCTTTTTCTCACTGGAGAATGATACTTGTCAAATGTGAACTGTTTTTACCCACAGTGTATACCTTAACTCTTACACCCTCCTGAAATAAAACTGTACTCACTAACTACAAACCTCTAGCAGTTGAGTGAAGAGAGACTGAAAGGAAGCATGAATTATAATGTACTGTAGTTTACGCACATCCATGAAGTTGGTGAGCCTCTCTACGGGCACTTTGGGGGAGGGAGAGGGGGAGGGGGCACTCTCTGGAGCTCCGTTGCCCGTCGCTAAAGCTCTCAGCTCCGGCAGGGACAGCTTCCCATTGTCGCTCATCATTCGGCGCATGGTCCGGGTTTTATGAAGCGGAACTCTGAAATTTAAATATTATTCAATTAAATGCACCGGACAAAACCATTCAGCATTTGCGAGAAAACTTTCTGGTACAGAGCAAATGCAAATGTACAAACTGTTCAACTATTATTTAAAGTGCACTGGTTAGCAGGTTTTAAACACTGATTGCTAACACGTTGGCTTCTCGAACAAAACAAGGAAGTTAACACAAACGCCAAGCATGCATTACCTTAATTCAAAGCTGCCTGTCGCTATTAATTGATAACTTAAGAGTTAAATGTTATTTTTGGTCACTTTTCATGCCAAAACACCAGCTGATAAACCGTATTTACCTGAATATGGCGACGCTTTGTGTTATCAGCAGCGCCCCGATGATATAAAACATCTCCAGTCGTGCCATTGCTGTCCTGGAATTGAAATATCACACACTTCTGTATTGTTTCCGCAATTTAGCACCACAAATAAGCACTTCTCTATTTGAACTGACGCAGAAAGATGAGTGGAAACGCTTCGGCAACTTCCGCCTTTACTCGGTTTTCCCCGTTAGGCGGCTCAGTGAATGGCTGAAAAATATTTAGGCAGGCGTTCTGATTGGTCGAGGAGGATGGCAATCATGTGGCATGACCTACCGGTGCACTGGGTCACGAGTACTGTGAGTCTGAAATGAATGACACATAAAGCACATTGTGTTCATTTTAGAAACTTCAGCGGTTTATGGAAACACTTAAACTTTATCACACAGACTGCATACAGATAAGTTGAGTAACCAAACAAATGTCAGTGTTTTTGATGACGGACATGTTGTTTTGGTAAATAATTTAAAATTGCATTTGGGAAGCCTAATGAATGACAACGCCATGCATCCCTCCCTAATCAAATTAAAGAGTGGTTCAGGGTTGCAGTTACAATACACTTGGGCTACTGTGAGAAACAGATAGGGGATTAGTTATGCTGTTCTCTAAGCAAGGAGAAATTACACATAGTAAAAATGAAAACACACACCTATAATTCAGGATGCCTCCTATCAATGGCAATGATAATAATTAATATTTGATCAAGGGCAGTGAAAATATTACTTCTTAAAAAAGAAAAGTCTTGTGGCTCAACTTGCCCCAGTGTAGGGTGTGGTAAGTTGATCCAGGTCAGGGGGTAAATTGGACCACTGTTCAAACCTGGGCATACCTACAACAAATCTTAAAGGTAACCATAAATAACAAACCAAATACAAGCTTAGTTTTTCAAATATTTTTAATATAAATTTCGATTGAATTGATTGATTTTTTTTTAACATGTTAAAAGGAAAAGTAATCATACAAATGGTGATACAATTTCATACATCTTACCAATCAAACACAGGGTAAATTCAACTTTATATATAGCCTACAATGAGCTCTTATTATCAACTTGGCCTACTTTCATTCATTTCTCCATTGAAAAACTGGCTCAACTTACCCCAAGGCCCATGGTTCACTTTACCCCATAGCCACCATTTTAGAAAAAATAGCCTAGCATTAAAATTCAGAGTCATCTTTAGCTTAATGATTCACATGCTTAATACGCTGCCAACATATCAACATATACAATATATGTGTTTAAACCTGGATACTTTTTTTTTGACATGACAGCCGATATAGCTGACATTTACTTTGATGAGCAAAAAACATTTTTTTGGAAAAATGTTTACTTACAACCAGACCACAATGAGTATCTCTCTTTCACAGGCAATGGGTGGAGCTTGCATACTTTCTGGTCCCTTGATTACAACTATAAGGCGTTGCCTGGTTACAGGGGGTGGTTCAACTTACCACTGGCTCAATTTACCCCCTTCTCCCCTATAGTAAAATAGAAAAAAAAATAGTGGATACAACGGAAGCCTATAGTATCTAGCATAGTTAAAACTTAAAACACTGGATCCCCTTTCTTGTGTGAGCTTTTAAAACATTTGAGTTATTTTTTAGCTTGGATTTGGAGACAGTTTTAGCAGCTACACTGCCTTTGCAAATTTGGGACTTCATATTTGTAAGGCATTGGCTTTTATCAGTCAGGGAAGGTCTATAAAATGCTTTCTGAGTTTTGTGTTTTGGGGGTTGGACTTAATTGACTTTAAATCAGGACATTTTACCATTATTTTTCTAAATAGGCCTATGTCTTTTTAAAGTCAACCAATTGACTCCAACTCCTTTAAAGAGAATGTATCTTTCAAAGATAGAAAAACCACCTAGGACAATTGCCGCATGTTATACCACCTCTCTGTTTATTTCCTGTCTCGTATTCTGTCAAAATAAAGTAAAAAAAATGTACTTAAAAAGTGACCAGCATCCAGATAGCTTATTATAGCTTTCCTAAGACTGGAAAGTGGGAGAGACTGCTAGCCTATTAGCACATTTAGCTCACTAACATGTTTTATCTTGTTTGTTTAATCAGAACAAAAACACTTGACTATAAAAATGAGAAATCCCTGTTTTATAGGGGGTATTGCTTGCTTTAAATTGTTTTAAAACGTGCTTGTAAATGAATTGTGTTACCTTTGCAAAGGTTAGGCTAGTTTATTTCCTGAAGTCCTTATGCTAAGCTAAGCTAGTCAAAAGCTTGCCCCAGCTTCCCCCAATGTTGAGGTATTCATCAACATCAAAAAAGCCTTCCCCAAAATGTCGAAATCTTTTTAGATAAGGCAAAATATGTCAGGTACTGGAGTCACTTTCTCTAGCAGTCAGTATAGACACATGATGCCATATTGAATGATCAAACAACAGTTTTAAATCCAAACCACAGCAGATCCATTTGTAAGATGAGTCACTCACCAAAGCTGCCTTTCAACACGCTGCCCTTTCTGCAGATTGACAACAAAGCGTGAAAGTATTTGCAGTCAGGATCACAAGCAGACACTCACTTGGCTTGTTAAACAAGTTTTTAGATGAAATGCCTAACACAGAAAACACAAACACATGGACATAAAGAGTGACATTCACACAAAAAATCCATACGCCTTCTTCTATCATCGTCAATCAGACCTCGAGCTGTCGACAAAAAGAAAAGGGTGTCCTTCACAAGGTAAACCAATACATTCTGGGGTTAAGACTTGGTGTTTGGTTGAGGTGAAGTACAATAAAGTTGTTGCCGTGGAGTGGTGGTTAAGTAAGCCCCAGGGAATGAATCAATGCTATATCCTCATAACTGATGGTGAGGATTTGTGTGTGTGTATAGATTTCAGTGTTTACATATTTTAAACTTCTTCCCACTGGTTGTTATGTGAATGTTGAAGTTTAGCAAAATAAGGATCATCACACCCCTTTTTTTTCTTCCTCTGTGACGCTGCAGGGAAATCACACCTGTGGGCTGTGGGCTTCTTTAGTCTTGACAACATTGAGAGAAGCATCTATGGAATCTGCTGCCTGACGACAATGAAGGCATGTTAACGCACGGGAGAATCCTTCAGCCATTTCTCACTCTGGATCTAAAGGATTAACTAAAGACGGAGGACTGATAGCAGATTAAGTGGAACATGATGGTGAGAATCAGCTCTTTTTTAAAATATTTATTTTATAAAAGAGTTAGACCTGAAGGATACATGCCAGAGAGAAATTCTCATTTTCATGGGTGTAGCTGGTTACACCTTGCTTCTCCCTTCACTGTCATTCAGGTATTGGGGTTGACTCACTGTGAGCCATGAAGTGCTGGAATGTAACTAAAAGTACTCATTATTCAGAATATATTACTTCAGAAAAACCCTTTAATATCTCTCGATTGTTAGCGTTAGAAATAATTACAATTGAGGTTGTATTTGGTTTTAGTATTTCCATTTTATCCATACCTCTATCACACTGCAATTTAGAACCTCGTTTGCAGGTTACGATTAATGCAAAATATAAATAAACTCATATTTATAATATCACTGGAATTATTTGTATTATTCATCAATGTGACACATTTGCAAATTGTATATCAGGAAAAAAATCTACTTTAAACAATGCTGGGTCATATAACATAACATTTCTTTTAGTAAATGGGAAATTCTTCATAATAACTATTTTAGTTTTGGTCCTTCAAGTATATTCTGATTCTCATTCTTGCGTACTTCAAAGATAGTACGATTTTGAATGAAGGCATTTTATTTGTAGCTGAGTATTTTCACACTTGTAATGTTAGTTTTAGTACAAGTACAAGATGCTTCTTCCACCACTGATTGCATGAAATAATAATAATAAATTGTATTTATATAGCGCTTTTCTCTGACTCAAGGTCACATTACAATATAAGGGAACACCATCTAACTGAATAATTACTTATACTTATTGATATTTGGGCTTTTTTACATTATCAAGTCACAGAACATATTAGCTAATTTATAAAACGGAAACTAAACTAGCAGATTCCTTTCAGCAAATATGAGACAATTATTTTAAAAAGGAGCAAAATATAGGAACATGTGAATACAGCAGTGCATGTTGGCGCAGATATTGTATAAACAGAATCTGTGTCTTGTGAAAGATTTAGAATAACGCAGAGAAGCATTCATTATGCTGCAGGTGAATTTACCTGTGCGCCGTTTCCTGCAAACCTTCCCGTAAGAAATGCTAGCTTGTTTTTGCAAACAAGCTAGTTGTCTTTGGTCATTTTCACAATGCATTACAATCCTATTGTCGTCTTTGGTTGATGGCCAGTGCTTGGGTTTCATCAGATAATTGCATGTCCTAAGACTAATTCACTATTCTGCCAACAATGCTCAAGAAGAAATTAAATGTATATTTTTGCATAGTTGGTCACTCACAAGCATATGTATATTTTCTTGAAAAATATAATTGACTGTAGCAATAATAAACAACAATGGTTTAAAAAAGTGGTTTAAAAAAGTGGTTTAAAAAAGGTTGCGTCTGAAATCAACAAAATGTATAAATTAGAACAACCTCAGCTACAATAGAGCTTTTTCCATTACTTTTTGACAATATGACAATCAGCCACCATGAACAACACCAGGACTATGAAACTAAACCAGCTATAATGCCTATTACACTTATTTTAAAACTTTTGTATTGATAAACATTATTTATTAATTAATTCACACAATTCTGAACATTTGCTTACTGTTAAAACTATAAACAAAGGCTGGCTTTTTAACCTGGTCAAGGGAGACATGTTATGTGTCAACTGATCTAATCCATTTTAATTTCGAAAGCACAACATCAAGACAAACAGTTCACTTGTAGAAATGCAAAACCATGGATGGCTTGTTTGGCAGCCAATGCTCTTATTCAATTGTTCTAATATTAGCCAGTTAATTTCTGTCACTTTTAAACCCATAGCCGCCCAAACCCCCGAGGACAAAGCATTTGATGAAGTCTTCCATCACCGCCTCCTGCGACGTCACGCAGCCGACCTACGAAGACCCCGGTGCACCGATGGTAAACACGAGAGTCTGTTGAAACAATGCATCTGAATGCATTAATTGTGGTGTGTCTGCCAAGGCCATTTCCATACTTGAATAATATGTAATTTGTCTACCCAGTGAATCAGAAATTGTATGAGTTCTTTCTTGACACTTCCACCCAGTGTTTCTGGTAAACAAAGGGGTTACAGGAACTGAACTACACACGGAACATGGTTCTTCCTCGTTTCAATGTTATCATGTACAAAGGGAATGACAGCACAGTGAAGCAGTGCACTTGGACCATTTTAAAACAAATGATTGGTTGACAGGCTTTGCTCTTGTCTCAATAGTTATAATATTAGCAGTTTATTGCTGTACCCCATAGGAGCCCAAACCTTCAAGTCCAACGCCCACCCTCACCAGCTCTAATGATGTCCAACAGTCTGTCTATGAAGAACCAGATTCACTATTGGTAAACACAAGTCTCTTTTTAAACACTTGTCTATGAATGCATGAATTGCTAAATGGTGGTTACTTCAAGGAACCCTAACAGATGAAACCATCCATGTTTGTTACACTGCGGAGAAGCTGGAGCAGAATCCAAACCCATAAATTAAATTAGGGATTGTTTTGGCTTGGCAGGCTTTCTGGTGATATTATATTAGACCGTTAATTTCTGTCACTTTTAAACCCCATAGGCACCCAAACCTTCAAGTCCAACATCTACCATCACCAGCTCCAATGACGTCACACAGTCGCCCTACGAAGACGTAAACGTAAACACAAGTTCTCTTTTAAACAGTGGATTGGTGCGTTTACTGGTACTTTTGCACATTACTGAAAAACACAGCTTGGGATACCACACACAATACAAGAAGGGCACTTGGAGTTGGTTGCTTGGCACTTGGTTATTTGCCAGGCATTGCTATTATCTTAATAGTTCCAATATTAGACCCTTACATTCTGTAACTATTAAACCCCATAGGCGACCAAACCTACAAGTCCGACGTCCACCATCATCAGCTCTAAAGACGTCCCACAGTCGGCCTATGAGGACCTGGATGCACATATGGTAAACTTGAGAACCTTTTTAACAGTGGTTCATCTGAATGCATGAATGGAGTGTGTGGTGTCTGCTGATATTTTTGCACATTACTTAATTCCACTCAATGGATACCATACACGATAGTAAAAGGGCATTCGGAAAGGGTGGGTTAGGGGTAGGGTAATCTGCAAAGGCCAATTCAATGAGTGAATAATATTCCAGTAACCCACCCAGTTCTTTCTTGGGCCATGCTACAATCTTCCACCAAGTGTCATGGTTGTTTGATAGGCATTGCTTTTATCTTAAAAGTTGTATCATTAGATGCTTCATTTCTGTCACTATTAAACCCCATAGGCACCCAAACCCTCAAGTCCAAAGTCCACCATCACCAGCTCCTTTGACGTCCCGCAGTCGGTCTACGAAGACTTGGATGCTCCGATGGTAAACACAAGTTCCTGTTTAAAATGTTGCCTTTCTGAATGCATGAATTGCTGAATGCCGTGTCTGGTGATTTTGGAAGTCATTTGTGTTCAACAAAACTACCGTACAGTAAAGGTGGGGTTGTTAACTTTTTCATTTAACCAACCTGTGACTTAGATCGGCTCAAAGATGTAATGAGTTCTTTCTTGGGCCATGCTACAAACTTCCACCAAGCTTCATGAAAATCCCACCAGTAGTTTGTCCGTCATCCTGCTGACAACCAACAAAGCCAACAGAGAACATGACTTCCTTTAAACCAATGATTGATGGTTTGAAAGTTTTTGCTTTTATCCTATATTTCTAATATTAGATGGTTCCTTTCTCTCACTACTAAACCCCATAGGCACCCAAACCCTCAAGTCCAAAGTCCACCATCACCAGTTCGTTTGACGTCCCACAAGTTTCTTTAAAAATAGTGGTTCATCTGAATACCTGAATTATTGATTTTGTATTTTTCTGATGACATTCAGTGTGGTGTAAAAATCCTTGAACCTATGTTTTTTTGTTAGCCTACTGTCACAGATGGAAGCCACTCGGATGTTAATGTCAAGCCTGTACCTCGTCCCAGGTCTAGAATACAACCAAAGTCTGAGCATAACAACAACAACAACAACACTGTTGACTCTTCAGACACAACTAGCGATACAACCGATGCAGTGGTGAGTGGTAATATACTCTCAATGATTGTCTGATGATAACATGTAGCATGCATTGATTGTATCATGTTCTTCTACCCTCAGAGTTCCCAACTCAATGAGCGTCCTGCAGACTTTAAGACGCCTCGTCCCGTTCGTCCTCCTCCACGACCGCCGCTGAGCAAATATATGACCTCCACAACAGCAGTCTATGGAGGCAATCACTATATGATTTCACAATATGAGCCAAATGTTAAGGTATGTTATATTTTAAACCAAATAATGGTACTTTTTCAATTTGTAAAGCTTGC